TTACCTTTACCAAAAAAAAAAATGTCTAGAAAAAAGTCAAATTAAATTTTTATGTGCGTTTGAAATTAAAATTTTTACAACATTGGATATTCACTCGATTTCTCATATAGATATTTTCTTATTATGTTGTAATTCAAAAACAAATAACTGTAGATAAAATTATGAAAATTTCACTGAATGTTTATATTAGCATTTCCTATATACCATATAATTTTGAAAATATGTTAGCTCTTTTTGAACTGTTTACGGACATTTTGAATTTTGAATTTTTTTAGTTTTTTTTTCTGTAAATATCAATAAAGTTTTATCTGTTTGGCCAAAAAGTGTAAAAATTTAAAACAAGGCTCCTGATATATTGTTACAATAGTAATTGAAAATTATTAAAAATACATGTTCACAATTTTTTTTTATAAGGATTTAAAGTTCGTATTTTGACAACATTTATAAAATTTAAAATTGAATATGTATTTTGTAGTTAAAATTTATAAAATATTCAACTTTTATATCTAAGGATTGAAAATTTAAAACATGATTTCACGTAAAAAGTTAATTCTGTTACCAAAAAATCTAAAAATACACAAGCACAGTTTATTTTTATAGTCATTTTAAGTTCAAATTTGGACGAAATTACTTATTAAAAAACTTAGAATAATTATTTTAGTTATTTTGTTGTGATGTATAATATTATTCGATGGTACTTGAAACTTCTAAAGTGTACTATTATATATCTATGATAGTATCATGGTTTGTTGTTGATGTATAACGCGTTATAAGTATCTAATGGATATTGTGATATGATTAATTTGGAATTTATTATAGGTACCTATTATAGGTCCTATACCTATACCGTTATTAGTACCTAATGGATATTGTGATATGATTAATTTGGAATTTATTATAGGTCAATTTTTTTAATACCATTTATATGTATTTAATATTTCTTAAACCTAGACTGACATACCGTCTCCGCTCAGAATCGTTTTTCTTATACAATGATATTACATCATTGAATTCAAATATAATACCATCCATTATACAGTGACCCACTTGTAACTTACTGTACAGCAGAGCATCTTTTTAATTTTACACCAAGTGCTAAAACTGCTTTTAATTTATTAGTTCAGTTGTGAATTTATTATTATAGACGTGTTCGGTTTTCCTTAAATTATAGTCAAATATATAACTTTTTATTATATTATAATATAATTATATTTAACATTTATTTCACTACAATACACTTAACCGGACATTAAAAGAACGGTAATAAGTGTATTTTATGATATATTTATATTGTTATTCAAGTAATTTATGTTACTTTTATTAAATAGCAGTAGCGAGGCGTGAGGTTTTTGGTTGGGGAGACACTGAAAAAAAAGTGGCACTTATACGCATAGACTCCCTAATTTTTTATTGTATCTATAGGTAAGAAATAAATGTTCAAAAACTAAAAACAAACTGAAATATTGTATTAAAAAAATTAAAAATGTTACAACTTCCTTAAAATGATAATTTAATACAATAACAAATGTACACATTTTTTTTTTCGTACGAGTAGTTAATAATTCCTTTGTTAAAAAAGGCATTAAGTAAATCATCAGCCATGGCCCATGAGGACAAATCACAATATAAAACAATAAATATTAAGAAACACGTACGTATCACGATAGCGTGACAATGCGATAATCCATAATAAATATTGAGAACTGAGGTAATTACGAACGGCGAGACTTGTCTCATAGCGTAGATAGTTAACCCCACTCACATTATAGGATTCCCCTTGTACCCACTTGCCTATATTTCTGAGACGTTGCGTCGCAATGACTATTAGATATAATACCATATTTGGAATGACCCTTATGACCGTATATCACCTTCTCAGTCCTCATACGCACGGCCGTATCGCTCACATCTAATTTATTTTAAGAATTATACAACTGTATACGACGAAAAACCGATTTTAACGAATATTGAGACATACATCATAATATTTATAATATAAAATAAAATTCACATTTGTAAATATTTTTTAAAACAAAATAATTATTTATTCGTCCCGTGTTCTAATTTCTAAGTGGGGAGACGTTGTCTCTTTGTCTCCTACGACGCTTCGCCACTAGTAAATAGTACGGTATGTTCAATTAAATTTAGCTGAAATAATGGCATTTTAAAATGTCATTGTATGTATATAAAATAATATAATAATGTAGATACTTACCTTAAAAGGTTCTAGTAACCACGAATAATATTTATATATCACAACATAATAACTTAAATCGTTATTCTCCTTATGAATACCAGATTCTAATTTCGACCAAATTTCAAGTCAAACGTCAATACATTTTTTACATTTTTTGGTTATAGTTTGAATTATTTATGAGAAATCTTGTATTATATTTTGAATTTTTAGCTATAGTAATGGAACTAAATCATTTTTAAATTTAAATTTGATAATTGTTGTCAACATTTGAACATTAAATTTGCTAATTTTACAAAATTTTAACTTTAGATGCTTACAAAAAATTGTTGTGCATTTACACTCAACTTTTATTTTAATTTCCACTAACGCCAATTCACGGGGAATGTTGTATAACATTTTAACATTTTAGTTTAACATTTTCAATTTATATTACAAAAAAATTTAGTACCATCTAAAATAGTTACTAAAAACTAAAGAAATTCAAAAATTTCTTAATAATAATTGCCTATAATAATCGCAAAAAAAAAGGCGAAATAATTTGAAAAAAATGAAATTTTTCTTACGAAATTCATCAGTCACGAAAATTTGTAAAATAATTTTTTCAGTTAGAAATTAATAGAACATTCTCAAATGTAAGTGATGAAAAGAAATGTCGAAAATTGTAAATTATATTTTTAAAAATGTATAAAATGATAATTTTTTTAGTTAAAGATTGAAAAATTAAAACATAGTTATTCATAAGTAGTTTATATTGTAACCCAAATCTTTAAAAATATATTGATACAGATTTTTATAAACATTTTAAGTTCAAATTTGAACAAAATTAGATAATATGTACCTAAACGAAAAATAACGTTTTTAGTTATTTTTTTGTAATTTAAAAATATTATTCGTAAGTACATAAAACTTTTAAAATATAACAAATTAAATGTTTTCGACAAAGTAAATTTAACTTACTGTCACTTAACAGTACAAATTACTTTAATAGCAATATTATAAAATATACTTATATTAATACTTATAGGCCGACCATCTTCGTTCAGTTTCGGTTTTCGTGTACAGTATAAAAATACCTAATTGAGGAGCAGTTACTTGATAACGATTCCAATAGACCTATAGGTACTTATTAAATTGTGATAAAAATTAAATATATAGTAGTTCGTCTATTGGAGCCGATACGATTTAATAAATCAGATTCATAGACGCAATTTGGGTGATGCTTGAGGGTGCTTCACAATACCAAAATTTATATTAGCACCCACACATTTTTGATAGCATCATCGAATTTTTATTGACTATAATATGCCAAATGTATTTGGATACATTTATTTCTAAGACATTATTATTTGCATAATCATAATAATACATAATATGTACATTGTACCTACCAGAATAATAATGTGGATAAAAGAGTAATATTTTATAGGTAATTGTTTATATTAAAATTAATGAGAAGGTAGACATAATTGGATTGTAGGAATGGAAGGGGGGGGGTTAAACTGATCACTGATCACTTTAGTTGACATAAATCTAGCACCCCCACAAATTTAACCCCAATTGTGCCAATGTCGGATACTGCTATAATAAATATAAGACTTTGTCGCCCTATGCGTAAACTCTATTGTTAGTAGCGTCATAGCTAACAGACAGTACACACCGCTCGGTGCATTACGTATTGTTATTAGTTATTATTGTATTTTATGTTTTTTTTTCATTAGATTACAATAAATACAATTTATTCCGAATTACAGATCTTTTAATCATTAAATATCCTCTTTTTCCGACAACAATTTATGATAGGAGTATTAAAGATCCATAAACAAACTATATTTTTTATTTGATATAATATTTTTATTTATAAGGGAACGAGGGCCCAACAAATTGAAAATCCCCCCCCCCATCACATGCCCAAAAATTAAAAAAGATGGTCTACTTCCCGACTTTGTCTCTCTGACTATGTTCTTCGTTTAGAATATCCAATCTTGTAAACATATGAACTTAAAACTTTTATAAAAATGTGATTTGATTCGATTGTAGACATTTCTTTCTGTTAAAGGTATACAAACTTATAAGAAATATTATTTTACATTTTAAAATCTTATACTTTGTGCCACTGCCAACTTAATGGACATGAGCGTTTACACGAATGACAGGAAAAATTAATATCTTGTTTCCATACCTCTCGGTGTAGCGGCACTTCGTCCACTAACTATTGTTATATGCGTCTTGATATCCGCGTTAAAAACGTAGAACCCATGAAAACGCTAATAATGTGTATAGTTTATATGGGTTTAGGGAAATAATAATAATAATACAGACATACAGTCGGTCGTCTTTATGTTCGTTTTTAGTGTCTCGTCCCGGCCGACATTCCTTTTCGACCCGAGGGTTGCGAGAAAAACATTCGACGATATAGCACACATGTGACTTGCAAGGTTTCTTGAGAAAATGAAAAAAAAAGAAACTCTGTGCGCATAATACATTTCATCTGGTTAGTCGAAATTGTTTGTGCACCACCCACGGTACCCAAACCCACAACCTGAAATTCAAGAATCCGACACACTACAATTGCTTTGTCCACCGCCCTATAATATCTTACCGGTGGGCTCTCTTTGGCGGCGGAAGATATTGATTTATTACGCTGCCAGGGTGAGTTTTGTGCCTGCACACATAGGCACAACTCACACTGCTGTGAATAGTCGAAGTATTGTCCATAGGATTATGTTGCCGAAGCGGTAAGAATAATAATATATATATATATTAGACATAGGTATTGCCGGTCCCCGAGGAGCGTTTGCGTATAATGCAGATCGGCAGGACGGACTCAAAAACCCCTCATCACTCACCCATCGTCACAGACCCCCTCGGACCTCGATCCACGAAAAGACGGATCGGAATCATTTTGGCAACGTCGCGGCACGGTGCACATGGTCTTTTTGTTCTCGGCTACTCCGACGGCGAGAGACGAAAACCGCACCGCCGACCCGCATCATCATCCCCTCTAAGACTTGCTGGCATCTAGGGTTGCAGGCGTCCTTGTATAGTAACTATATTATTATACACACCCCGATACAATACCCATGCACCGTGCACGCACTTCTCGTGGTTAAACACAAATGGAATTGAAATCGTAGGTAGTAAAAATGTATTGAAAAAACCAATCAAAGTATAACTATATAAACAAAATAATATTTCAAAAATGAAAAATATTATATCAATAATATGGTAAGTTATATAAAATTATAAGCATATAATTATCCTGTGACACGTCTCGCACTGTATAAATAAAAAACACTGTATTAAATACCTTAACAAGAAGAGCTCAACATTTTGAAACCAAACCGTATAGTCTTATGTTTCGCAATCATTATTCAGTACAATAGCTATTCATTCTTATGGCTGAATGGGGTGATAACAAAAACAGTTTAAAGTCGAGAGACCGACACATACGTAGCGACACTCAAAATTCAGCATAATATTATAACGACTGACCATAGCGTGTAAAATATAATGGTGAGATACCATTTTAAAAATTCATTCATTTATAACGAAATCAATTTACTCAAACACACAAAAGTATACTGGACTATCCGGACCATACTGCATCATAAGTCATGGTTGTGGGGGGGGGGATTTGAAACGTTTGCCCTCAAAACCCCTCCACCACCACTGTCCACAAAACAAATTTGGTTTATATCATTAAGACCTCTCAGTAAAACCAGTGTGATCTGTAATCTGTATATTGTAAGAAGGATAAATGTATATGCATACATGAAAATAAATAAATGCATACTAGGTATTTAATAAAGTTTCAATTGTACTTTTTCAAGTACATTCGTGGAATAATCAGCGTACCTATACATACAATACTCAAAATTACTCAAAATTGCAATCTTCAAAATGTTATAACCTCGGAACTTAGTCTGACCGAAAAATTCTGATTGCACCATTGTAATCAACTCATTTAATACACCTACTACCTATAGGTTAAAAAAAATTCCCAACAATCGAGAAACTGAATTATTTCGATATATTTTTGCAATATTCAATTTGCAATAGTGATTGGTGATTATTACGAAGTAATACTATCTTAGTTGCAGCTACCATAGGGGTTTTTATTTGTTGTTTCTTATATACTATATTAGCAGTACCAATAAATAATAGGTACATATTATATAACTGGATCTCTATATGTATTGTTGTATACATTGTTTTCAGTGCCGGATTAAAATGTCCGACCTTAGTGTTAGTAACTTTTGTTTTTTGCCGCCCTGACCAAACCATATACATATTATATATAATGAGCACACACAAAAAAAATCTGTTTTTATATTATTATGTAAGTACCTGCCTATACCTATCTTCGATACTCGTTTACAGCATTATCGTCATTTCGGATCGAAAAGGGAATAGACGCTCTGCGTTAGGTTTTTGAATCTCATTCTATATTTTATAATATATTCGACCTAGGTACCTACCAATCTGATAAATTCTGAAAACTGAATAAAAAAACACTTTATATTCATATTATATGATTATAGTGAACAAAAAAAATACTGTTTTCTAAACGTTAATAGAACTTGTTATGGAACAAGTTTTTAATATTATAAATTTATAATATATATAAAAACTGGCGGAGTTTCCATAAGCCATTAAAGGTAAGAAAATAAAACTGGTGGAGTTTACAATCCCCCGCTGATATGCACGTCTGTAATAAATTTACCTACCATCGTGCACATGTCAACAAATATTACTTTATAAAATTACAAACATTTTTTTTTCAAAAAATACAGACATTGACTTCAGTTACTTCGTTCAGTAGGATGTTCGGCTTTCACTTTTGAAGGCAGATTTGAATTCTCCTCTAAATTTACTATGCTTGAACTGCCGTACATTTTTCATATTCTATATCAATGTATTTAAATTTAAATTATGAATGTGTTCTATTTTTACTCTTTTTGTTAGTAAGTTTCTAAGTAAAAAAAAAAAAAAAAATCAGAAAAAAGAAATTGTCAAAGCATAGATAATTTAGTGACGAATTCGAATCTGCTATCAAAGTTAATATTAGAACATTATATTGAGGGTAGTGATTAAAGTTGTGATCTATGTTTTCGAACGGAAATGAATCACAATTTAGTCCCATTAATAAACGAGTATACACTTTTGAAAATATAAACTATAGGAATACAAATTTGAATGATTTTCCGGTTGTGAAAAAAATATTAACTTGCTACATTTGCACCAAAAAATTTACTCCACTGTTTGTAGGTAACTCTATTACTTACCCGTGAGTGCATAATAATATAGTATAGGTGGGAAAAGGAAATTCAACATTACGATAAAACACATATTTTATCTTAGATTTTATATTATTAAGTTATGAAATTTGGCAACATTGTACAATCGTGCAGTCGTATTCTACCCCCTATCCGTGAGTTGAACGTTCCCAATAAAATATAATAAGAATATAATATAAAGACCCCTTTCACACATTGGCCTTGGATATACGTGAGAAATGCTATCCGCGCCCGCCCATGTGGCAAGCATATTATATAGACAGCTGCAGACTGTTCGACTGTTACACACGCACACACACACACACAAAATACATGGTGAATGTCTCTATAGACCTTAGGGTCTAAGGCTTGAATCCAGTTTTTTTGTCGAAACACGTATGTCGTACGTGCCCAGTGTTTGTTCGTGATATACCGATCTAAAAAAATACAATATAACGCACGATACGACATA